GCTCCTGTGGGGAGAGTGGCTCCCGGCGAGACGAAGCACCCCCAGGCACAGCACCTCCAGGCTCAGCACCCCTAGACACAGCACCCCCAGGCACAGCACCCCCAGGCTCAGCAACCCCAGGCACAGCACCCCCAGGCGCAGCACCTCCAGGCCCAGCACCCCCAGGCACAGCACCCCCAGACTCGGCACCTCCAGGCTCAGCACCCCCAGGCACAGCACCCCCAGGCTCAGCACCCCCAGGCTCAGCACCCCCAGACTCGGCACCTCCAGGCTCAGCACCCCCAGACTCCGCACCCCCAGGCTCAGCTCCCGCAGCAGCACCAGAGTCACCAGTGACCTCGACAGGCTCGACCGCGTCTACCTGGGACACACCTGAAGGGGCAGGACCCTGAGGGGGGGGGGGGACTGCCGGGGGGGGACCTGGTACCAAGAAGAGCGGGGGTGGGGGGAGGGACGGAGTGCGGTAGGGGAAGAGGCGGTAGTAGGGTACCGACTCGTCGAACGTGACGTCCTGGGAGGACAGAACACGTCGAGAGGTGGGGTGGTAAAACTGCCACCCAGGGGCGTCGGGGGGGAACCCCAGGAAGACGCAGGGAGAAGCACGAGGGGACAGCTTGTCCGCAGACAGGTCGCGAACAAACGCCCGAGATCCCCAGACCCGGAACGCCGACGCATCGCCAACCTTCCCCGTCCACAACAGGGCTGGGGAGGTCTCCGGTCGAGAGACCCTGGGGTGGAGGTTGATCTGGTGCGCAGCGTACCTGACCGCAAACGGCCACAGAAAATGGGGAGCAGCCGCATGCATCATGGACGTACGAGCGACGTCCATGACCATGCCAATGCGGCGCTCAGCAATCCCATTCTGCTGTGGTGAGTCCGGAAGCGTGAAGGTCTGACGGATGCCTCGCGCACGACAGTAGGCACTCAGGAGGCCAGAGGAGAACTCTCCGCCTCTATCCGAGTGCAGACGCAAAACAGGGAAGTCAGAGCCAAAGCTCCTCCGAAGCTGGAGACGAGCTGCGCGGATCCAGTCGATCAACACCTCAGTGACCTCACCCTTGCTGCGCAAGGGGAAGACTGTGGTGTAACGCGAGTAGTCGTCAACCACCAGCAGGAAGTAGCGCTCCTGACCCTGTCCACGGACGCGGGCTGGGCCCCACACGTCCATGTGAAGCGTCTGCAACGGGGCCTCTGTCGGAGGAAACTGGGAGGAGTGAGGGGCAGCACGCTGGCGCCCCTCGACACAGGGGACACAGGTGGGGCCAGGGCTCGGAGGAAGGGGAGGGAGAGACCGGGGAAGACCAGACACAAGGACTCGCGAGGCCATGCCTCGGAGCCGAAGCAGAGAGGGGTGGCCAAGGCGGTGGTGCCAGAGGAGGGTCTCGTGAGACAGACGACGACACGAGCAGGGGGCAGACTCAGGACCAGACCTGGACGCTGCAGCAAACACCTGACCAGACGAAGGAACCCTACCAGACTTAGCACCTGGAGGAGAAGCAGTGGTCAGTGTGTACAGGCTCGACCCTGGCCGACGTGTAAACGTAGCCAGGTGGCGACCTGTATCCGCCTCCGTGCAGTGGGTCACCCGCTGACGAGCAGGGGTGAACTGGTGGACACCCGCATCCTGGAGGTCAGCACCACTCACCAAGTTCGTCGAGAACGAGGGGAGGTAAAGACCAGTCAGGGTGCCAGAGGGGGCCGCCGGACACGGGAGGACAGTGGAGAAGCGAGACAGGACAGGCCCCCCAGAGGGGTCAGCCAGGGACACCGCAACCGGCCGACTCAGCGGCGTGAGAGTGGTGCGGTCCCTAAAGAAGGAGCGAGACGCTCCAGAGTCAAGGGTGAAGGTGTGAGAGACCGAAGCCGACACCGTACCTGAGAGGGCAGACTCACCAGCACCTGAGAGCACAGACGCACTGGCACCTAGAGCAGCAGCCTCACTAGTACCTGACGCGGCAGTACCAATGCCCGGGTCGGGCGGGAAACACCGGTAACAGTCATCCTCATCACTACCAGTCACAGCATACATAGCAGCGAGAATAGCATCAAAATCAAGATCATAAATAGCTACACCAGCCCTAGACAGCTCTCCCCAGCGGGGGATCTCAGCGGCCTCCGGAAACTGCTGACGCCAGGCGTCGGTCAGGCGGCCAAAGCAGCGGCGGGCTGTGTGGGCGCCTCCACACCTCTCCCCTGCACGGTCACCGGTGCGAAGAACGTAGGGGCAGGGACCAAGCGCACCACCACGCTGACGCTGCAAGTACCACTCACGGAGCTGCTGAGGGGCGGGGACGGTGCGAGAGCGCTGCTGCTGCTGCTGTGGCTGCTGCTGCGGCTGCTGCTGCTGCTGCTGCTGGCGCTGACCACCCCCAGAGCTGCTCCGCTGGGACGAGCCACCCCGACCCCCGCCTCCACCGCCACCCCCGCCTCCACCGCCACCCCCGTCTCCACCGCCACCTCCCCCACCAGGACCGTCGCTCCCACCGCTCCCACCGCCTCCTCCGCTACCACCGCCGCCGCCACCTCCGCCTCCACCGCCGCCACCAGTACCTCCACTCCCGCCACCACCCCCACCGCCACCCCCACTCCCCCCGCCACCCCCTCCGCCTCCTCCACCGCCCCCTCTAGCTCCACCCGCTCCCTTGCCCCCCTTGCCCTTGCCAGAGCGGCGTCTGCCGCTGGGGGCAGACGCCGCGCCGACCGACTCAAAACCAGTGAGGTCGGCCGCAGCGGCAGAGGCGACAGAGGGCAGCAGGGGGGAAGGAACACACCCCTCAAAGATGGGGGTGCGAGGGTCACCCCGAGAGGCCCCTACAGCGACAATACTCTTCTCAGCCGCTAGCAGGGACTCCTCAAGGAGGTCGACAGTGAGAGTGGTGGGACAGACAGAGAGAAACTGGTCCCTAACGACACGAAGGGACTCAGGGAGACGGGTGACGAGAAAGTAGAGAGTGATGTACATGGGAGGAGGGTTCGCAGCGCGGAACTCAGCAGGAAGGGCAGCGCGGTAGCGGGTGTCACTAGCACGGAGGTGGGTAACGAGGTCAGCAACAGTGGGAAAGGAAGCGAGGTCAGGGAAGAGAAACGGTAGCATGAGGCGGCTAAGGGTAGCGGAGGAAGGGGAGGAGTAGCGTGCAACTACAGCGTCGTACAAGGCCTGAGCGGTCTTGCACTGACTAAAGTGGGCACGCTCAGAGGAAGGGAGGTGGCGACGCACAGCAAGACGTGCAGCAGCATCGCGGGTCGCCCACTTGGAGCGAACGGCAGAGTCAGCATCAGCAGGTGGGGCAGGGACAGCGCCAGAGACAAAGTCAAAGAGAGAGACCTCATCTATCGCATCACACAGTAAGTACAGCTGCAGGTCTTCAATCCAGACGGCAAAGTCAATGGCCCTCCCCTCAGCGTCAAAAGTAAGAACATTGGGGGTGGCCATGGCAGCAGCTGAAAGTCTCACCGGGCTGGGAGAGTCGGGTAGGTCAGCAGCAGAGGAACACAGCTCAGGAACAGCGGCACGGCTCGGGCGGCTCGGGTTGCTGGGGTGGCGCGGGCGGCTCGGGCGGCTCGGGCGGCTCGGGCGGCTCGGGCGGCTCGGGCGGCTCGGGTTGCTGGGGCGGCGCGGGCGGCTCGGGCGGCTCGGGCTGCTCGGCTGGACGGGCGGCTCGTGCGGCGCTGGTGTCGCGACGGGCGGCTCGCTGGCGGCTCGCGGGCGGCTGCACAGGCGGCTCAGGGACGGCGGCGCGGGCGGCTCAGGGAGCTCACGGGCGGCTGCGACGGGCGGCTCGCGGGCGTCGGGCGCTAGGGCGTTGGGGCGACGACGGGCAGCGCTCAGGCGTTCGGGCGGGCGGCCGTAAGGGCGAAAGGGCGGTCGGCGCTCGGGCGCTAGGGCGGGCGGCCGGCCGTCAGGGCGCTAGGGCGGGCGGCCGTCAGGGCGCTAGGGCGGGCTGCGGTCGGGCGCTAGGGCGGGCGGCCGTTAGGGCGCTAGGACGAGTGGCGCACGGGCGCTAGGGCGGGCGGCCGTCAGGGCGCTAGGGCGAGCGGCGCTCGGGCGCTAGGGCGGGCGGCCGTCAGGGCTCTAGGGCGGGCGGCGCTCGGGCGCTAGGGCGGGCGGCGCTCGGGCGCTAGGGCGGGCGGCGCTCGGGCGCTGGGGCGGGCGGCCGTCAGGGCGCTAGGGCGGGCGGCCGTCAGGGCGCTAGGGCGGTTGGCGCTCGGGCGCTAGGGCGAGCGGCCGTCAGGGCACTAGGGCGGGCGGCCGTAAGAGGAGGGAGCGGCGGGAGCGCGACGGTAGGGGCAACACGCAGGGTCGCTAAAAAAAAAGAACGCGCGCCTCGGGGCGCGCTTCGGTGGGCCCTAGGAACAGTCCCTAGGAGGGGACCTGCTCTGATTCCATGAGAAGAATTGAACGAGAATGAAATGAGTATGAACGAAGTGAGTACAAATAGGAAATCCTAATTGGGTTGTACCCCCTATGGGATACCCCACTATAGCCTACACAAATAAGTAAGCTATATGTTCTGACAAATACATGTAAGAAGAATAAATTCATCAGCCGTAGCGAAAGTGTACCAGCCAGACCAGCGCAAGAGCTTCACAAACCACACATCCCCCATCCTGAGCCGCACACAATCGCACCCGTCTAAGCACACCCAACTGGACCCACCCACATGCACGCAGTTGCACAACCTCCACCTATGAAACTCCCGGGTCTTCTATCCTGGTGAATATAGTATGAAAAATGAAACTCTATCTGCTGACATGTAGCCGCCGGCATGCGCCTGCATCACCCTCAACGCATGTTCCACCCCCGCACCCTCCCCTCCCCCCCTCCCCTCCCTCCTCCCTCCCTCCCCTTCCTCCCTCCCCCCTTCCCCTGCTTTCGTTCCCCTCCTGTACCACTTCTCCTGCTATCTTCAACAGTAAGGCTCGAAACCGCACTGCATTAATATGAGCTTCACCGAATTGCACGAAACAACACTGAGCCGCATTGAACCACAGCTTATCACCTACGAAGCTCTGCTGCCATGCACCCTGCATGCGCCTGCATCACCTTCACTGCCTGTTCCACTGCTGCCCTTCCCCTCACCTCCTCCCCCCACTGCGTCACCACTCCCTCCAACCGCACCACTCACAACCGCACTGACTCTCGCTGAACCACATTGAAGCGGACCAACACGCACTGGACCAAACTGTACCGCACCGAACTGTACGCATGTTACCTTTGAAGCTCTGCCGCCATGCACCCTGCATGCGCCTGCATCACCCTAACCGCCTGCTCCACTGCCGCCCTTCCCTCACCTCCTCTCCTGCTCTCACACTGCCCTGAGCTTCGCGGAATCACTACGCATCACACTGAACCGCACTAAACTGCACCGCACACATGTCACCTACGAAGCTCTGCTGCCATGCACCCTGCATGCGCCTGCATCACCCTGACCGCCTGCTCCACTGCCGCCCTTCCCTCACCTCCTCTCCTGCTCTCAAACTTCCCTGAGCTTCACGGAATCACTACGCATCACACTGAACCGCACTAAACTGCACCGCACACATGTCACCTACGAAGCTCTGCTGCCATGCACCCTGCATGCGCCTGCATCACCCTAACCGCCTGCTCCACTGCCGCCCTTCCCCTCACCTCCTCCCCCCACTGCCTCACCACTCCCTCCGCCCGTGTCCCCTTCACCCCCCTCTCCATCGCCCCTGCTGCCTCCTCCAATCGCCCCTCCACCAACAGAGTGGTTGCCTCTGATAGTGCTTGCTCAGGGCTCGGTGCTTCCCCTGGTGTGGTTGGAACTGGGAACTGTAGTGGGAAGAAGGATGGATGGAAAAGGGAGGGGCAATGAGGATGAATCAGACTGCCATCGCCCCTGCTGCCTCCTCCAGTCGCCCCTCCACCAGCAGAGCAGCTGCTTCAGCAACAGCTTGCTCAGGGCTCGGTTATGTTTTTGTGGTACTGGCAGCTGTTGTGGGGAGAAGGAAGGACGGAAAGGAAGGAGAAGGAGAATGAGACGGATAATAAGGTTGTGTCAGAACAGACTGTCATCGCCCCTGCTGCCTCCTCCAGCCGCCCCTCCACCACGCGAGTAGTCGCATCTACCAGGGCTCGCTCAAGGCTCAGCGCTTTCGCTGCTGTGCTGGGTACTGGGTACTGGGACCTGGTATGGGGAGACGATTTTTGAGTCGACTAAAAAATCGTCTCATCACTCGCTGCTGTGCTGTGTACTGGGAACTGGTGTGGGGGAGAAACAAAAAAAAAGAAGACGACAATGTAAATTTCGAACAACTCTCAAGTTTCCCAGTCAAGCCAATGTGTATACACCAGGTCATTCTGCCTTTACCTTTGTTTTGAGGCGCCTCAAAACAAGTTTACCAGGTCATTCCGCCTTTACCTTAAGAGCTACTGCAACTGCTGAGACCGCCTGCGACAATAGGCCTGGCTCAACAAACTCCCCTCCTCCTCGCCTTCTTCTGCTGTCACAGAACATTGAAACTCATAACTCACCTAGTGGCAGTTTTTGTTACCTTGAGAGCAACTGCAACTGCTGCCACCGCCCGCGACAATAGGCCTGGCTCAACAAACTCCCCTCCTCCTCGCCTTCTTCTGCTGTCACAGAACATTGAAACTCATAACTCACCTAGTGGCAGTTTTTGTTACCTTGAGAGCAACTGCAACTGCTGCCACCGCCTGCGACAATAGGCCTGGCTCAACAAACTCCCCTCCTCCATATTGTCTCAAAGCCGTGATACTTAAAACCCCAAGTGCTTTACCTTTAGAGCGACTGCAACTGCTGCCACCGCCTGCGACAATAGGCCTGGCTCAACCAACTCCCCTCCTCCTCTCCCTCCTTTTCCTCCTCCCGATTCCCCTCCCACGTCCTCCCTCTCCCCCCCATTGGCCGGCGGCAGCATCGCCAGCTGGCACACCCTCGCCCTCATCCCCTCCAGCCTTTCCTGCAGCTGCTGACGTGTCAGCACGCCATTGGCCAGCGCGGATTTGGGCAGGGTGGCTGCGATCGCAGCGACCAATGGGTCGTCGCCACGTGGCAGGAGGGATGAGACGAGAGGGTCCTGGGATGGCTGCGATTGGGATTGCGATTCTAATTCTGAATCTGAATCTGAATCTGATCCGGATTGTGACTGTAAGTGTGGAGGTTGAAGGTGTGATTGAGAGGATGTGACTTTGGCGAGGGGAGGGGGAGTGAGGGAGGAGGAGGCGGGGTGGAGGAGGAGGGAGGACAGAATCGGCTGCAGAGGCTGATTGCTGTCTGCTGCTTCTTGGAAAGACATGGCAGCCTGGAAGAGGGTGTGGAGGAGAGCGGACAGGGAGGGAAGGTAGATGCGGAAAGTCAATTAAAGTGAGAGGGGTGGGAGTGGAGGGGGGAGGAGAGGATTGGATACAGGGGCTGGTTGCTGCCTGCTGCTTCTTGGAGCGATATGGCCGCCTGGAAAAGGGGGGGGGGGTGGAGGGGAGGAGCGGGAAGGGAGGGGGAAGGAAGGTAAATGGGGAAAGTCAATGGAAGTGGAGGAGGGGGGAGATGAGAGGATTGGATGCAAGTAATGGTTCAAAAGCACATTTTCACACCCTCAAATTCTCACCGCACCACTCAGCACCACACCGCATCTCACCAGAGCCACTCTGTGTGCATCCCAGCCAGAACAGCCTGTCCTCCTGTGGACAGTGGAACTCACCAGACCGCTCAGTGCCAACACATTCACGGCATATGACTCGAAAACCCCTACCATCGCACCGCATTGCACCACTCAGCACCGCACCAGAGCCACTCTGTGTGCATCAGCCAGAACAGCCTGTCCTCCTGCATCCTGTGGTCAGTGCCAGTGGAGCTCACTAGACCGCACAGTGCCAACACCTTATTGTACCACTGCTGAGGCGCCTAAAAAACTGAGCATTTTGTCCTCCTGTAGACAGTGGAACCCACCAGACTGCACAGTGCCAACACCTTATTGTACCACAGAATTTAAACAACCCTTATTATCCACAGCATTGCGCCCCACTGCAATGCACCGCATCACACCGCACTGCATCTCACCAAAGCCACTCTGTGCACATGCCAGGACAGCCTTTCCTCCTGTGCTGGTTCGAAAAAGACACCCCTCAGAGCAGAGATCTGCAGAGATGCACACACACCAATACACACCTTTCTCTATCACACCGCTCTGCACCGCACTGCAACTCACCAGAGCGACTCGGTGCGCATGCCAGGACAGCCTGTCCTCCTGAGATCGATGGAAGAAAACATCCTTCAGAGCAGAGATCTGCAGAAATGGACATACATACACACATGCATACAACACGCACACAAATACGCACGGAGAGATACAGAGGCACGGAGAGATTAGCGAGACTCGCTTTGCTCAAGACAGACTGAGCTCAATGGAAGGAAACATCCTACAGAGAAGAAAGTCTGTAGAGATCCACAAAAAAGACACACAGAAGGGAAGAAACAGGAGAGGGAACAAAGACACACACGCGAGGTGACTTTTGAGTCGACTCAGAGATGCACAGAAAGACACTCAGAGGGGAAGAAACAGCAGGCTTGCTAAGTTTCGAATCCAATGAATTTCAACAGAAACAGGAGAGGGAAATATTTTGTGAGAATTCTGAGACGTCTCAAAACACTTTGGTTTACACGAGGAGAGGGAAATCTTTTGTGAGAATTCTCACAAGGGAACAAAGAGACACACGTGCTTTACTCCCCACACAACACCTTCTGCTATCCTCACCTCCCCTTTTACCAGTTCCATTCCATCTGCTCCTCGTGTCCCCTTGACGCCTGCTTCTCTGTGCCTCTCCAGCTGCTCTCCCTCCTAAGAGCTTATCGCTTCCTCATCTCCCATTGTAATGAGGTGAATTTTGAGTCGACTCAAAAGTCATCTCTCCCTTTTAAGAGCTTATCCCTTCTTCATCTCCCCGCCCTTCTATGCACTCACCTCCTCTTTCACTAGTTCTGTCTGCTCCCCATGTGCCTCTGCTGTCCCCTTCGCCTCTGCCTCTGTTGCTGCCACGGAGCCATCCTTCCTAACAGCCGCTCATCCCATCACTCATCCTCTCCCTCCCTTCGCCCTTCTATGCACTCACCTCCTCTTTCAGTAGTTCTGTCTGCTCCCCATATACATCTGCTGTCCCCAACTCCTCTGCCTCTGCTGCTGCCCCCCCTCCCTAGCTCCTTATCCCGCCCTCCCCCACCCTTGTCCTCACCTCCACTTTCAGTAGCTCTGTCTGCTCCCCATGTGCCTCTGCTGCTTCCTTCGCCTCTGTCTCTGCTGCTGTCGCTGCCGCCAGTTGCTGCAGCAGCACTGCTTGCAGGGTGGATATGGCCTGGAGGGAGGGACGGGCGGATGGAGAGGAAGAGACGGGTAGAAGCAAAGGAGTGGAGGAGAAGAGGGGTAAAGGGGTTGAACCTGCGTCTGCTGCTGTCGCTGCCGCCAGCTGCTGCTGCAGCACTGCTTGCAGGGTGGATATGGCCTGGAGGGAGGGACGGGCGGATGGAGAGGAAGAGACGGGTAGAAGCAAAGCAGTGGAGGAGAAGAGGGGTAAATGGGTTGAACCTGCGTCTGCTGCTGCCACTGCCACCAGCTGCTGCTGCAGCACTGCTTGCAGGGTGGATATGGCCTGGAGGGAGGGACGGGCGGATGGAGAGGAAGAGACGGGTAGAAGCAAAGCAGTGGAGGAGAAGAGGGGTAAATGGGTTGAACCTGCGTCTGCTGCTGCCACTGCCACCAGCTGCTGCTGCAGCACTGCTTGCAGGGCGGATATGGCCTCCTGCAAGGGCCATACCCGCCCCCACACTGCAGGGTGGATATGGCCTGGAACAATCTGCTGTCTCTCCTTTCCCCACACTGTTTCGATTTTACTTTTGAGTCGACTCATAAGTCAACTCTGCAGCACTGCTTGCAGGGTGGATATGGCCTCCTGCAAGGAGGGCGGATATGGCCTGGAACAATCTGCCTGCCTGCCTCTCCTTTCCCCACACTGTTTCGATTTTGTCTGCAACCCTTTCCCCACACTGTTTCGATTTTGTCTGCAACCCTTTCCCCACACTGTTTCGATTTTGTCTGCAACCCTTTCCCCACACTGTTTCGATTTTGTCTGCAACCCTTTCCCCACACTGTTTCGATTTTGTCTGCAACCCTTTCCCCACACTGTTTCGATTTTGTCTGCAACCCTTTCCCCACACTGTTTCGATTTTGTCTGCAACCCTTTCCCCCCACTGTTTCGATTTTGTCTGCAACCCTTTCCCCACACTGTTTCGATTTTGTCTGCAACCCTTTCCCCACACTGTTTCGATTTTGTCTGCAACCCTTTCCCCACACTGTTTCGATTTTGTCTGCAACCCTTTCCCCACACTGTTTCGATTTTGTCTGCAACCCTTTCTACTTGTCTCCTACCCCCAAGCTTACCACCTACTCCCCTCACTTTGATGCTTGTGCCCCCCATCACTCACCATCTCCCCTCCTCCCTCTGCTGTCCATCCCCCCACAGGTTATCCAAGCCCCCTTACCCCTTCCATGCTTGTGCCTATTCCTCACTCACCATCTCCTCTTCTTCCTCTTGCTGTCTCCTCGCCTCCCCCTCCTTCCATTCCTCCAACTCCCTCCCCATCTCCTCCCTCTGCTGCTCAATCCGTTCCCGCTCCACCTCCCCCTCCCTCTCCCTCTCTCGCACCGCCGCTGCCAGCGAATCCTGTTCTGCCACGTGGACACTCTGTGCGTGAGGGGGGAGGGAGGAGGGCGTTGGGGGAGGAAGGGGGAGGAGGGCGGAGGGGGTGTCATTCACGTGTTTGAAGAAGTGTTTTGAGACGTCTCATTCACAGAAGTGTTTGAAGAAGTGTTTTGAGACGTCTCATTCACAGAAGTGTTTGAAGAAGTGTTTTGAGACGTCTCATTCACAGAAGTGTTTGAAGAAGTGTTTTGAGACGTCTCAAAACACTTCTTCAAAAAAGGCGGAGGGGGTGTCATTCACAAAAGAAGGTAGAGTGGAAAGAAAGGGCAGGCGAGAAGGCTGCCGAGAGGGCAGCCGTTGGGGGAGGAAGGGGGGGGAGAGCGGAGGGGGTGTCATTCACAAAAGAAGGTGGAGAGGAAAGAAAGGGCAGGCGAGAAGAGACGTAGGGTTGGTGTATACATAAAGAGTGGATAGTGTATAGCGGATAGCGGATACCAAATAGCGGTTACCAAAAAGCGGTTACCAAATAGGAAATACCAAATAGCGGAAACCAAATAGCGGATACCAAATAGCCGATACCAAATAGCCGATACCAAATAGCCGATACCAAATAGCGGATACCAAGTGGATAGGGGATAGTGAATAATGGATAGTCTAGGAACCCTCTAGTAGCAAATCCCTCCCTCTCACTCACCTGCATTGCTGACAGCTCTCACTCCCTCTTAAACCATTTAAACTCCCTCCCTCCCTCGCTCTCTCCTTCCCTCCCTCCCTCTTCTCCCTCCCTCCCTCCCTTCCTCCCTCCCTCCCTCCCTCCCTCCCTCCCTCCCTCCCTCCCTCCCTCCCTCCCTCCCTCCCTCTCTCCCTCCCTCCTCTCCCTCCTCTCTCTCACCTGCATCGCTGCCAGCTGTCGCTCCATCTCCCTCCACTCATTCCCACATTCCCTCTAACCAGTTTAAATTTCCCCGTTCCTCCCTCCCTCCTCTCACCTGCATCGATGCCAGCTGTCGCTCCCTCTCCCTCCTCCCCCTCTCCGCCTCCGCCTTCCTTGCCGCTGACTCGATCCTCACCACCTCAGCTGCCACGCCCACCGACACGTCAGCAGCCACGTCAGCGGCCACGTCAGCAGCCACGTCAGCTGCTCCCTGCGCCTTACTGTGATCTTCGCTCTCTTTCCGTACGTCTCCCTTTTCTCCTTCCTTCTCCTCCTCCGCTTCCTCGTTCCCCTTCTCCTCCCCTTCCCTCTTACTTTTCCCTTCTTTCTTCCTCTTCATTTCTTCCTTCTCCTCCTTCTTCTTTAGCTTCTTAAGTCGTTTCCTCTCTTCTTTCGACACCTTTCTTTCCTCCTCCTCCTTCCCCTCCCCATTCTCCTCTGCTTCTCCCTTCTTTTTCTCTTCCTCCTTTTTCAACTTCTTGATACGTTTTTTCTCTTCCTTCTTCCTCTTTTTTTCCTCATCCCCACCATCATCCTTACCTTCCTCTCCTCCCTTCTCATCCTCCTCTCCCTCCTCTCCCTCCTTCCCCTCCTTCGCCTTCCTCTCCTCCTTTTCCTTCTTCTTCAATTCCTTCTTCCTCCTCTTCTCCTCCTTTTTCCTTCGCTTTACCTCCTCCTCATCTACCTCCTTATTATCCTCCTCCTCCACCCCACCAATCTCCCCCTTTACTGAACCTTCTGACCCATTCCCACTTCCCTCCTCTCTCACTTCATCCTCTCCCTCCCTCCTTCCGCCTCCCGCTTCCTCCTTCCCCTCCTCTTCTCTCTCCTCCCTTTCAATTTCTACTCCCCCATCCTTCCCCTCCTCTCCTCCCCCATCCTTCCCCTCATTTCCTTCCCCCTCCTTACCCTCCTCTATGCCCCTCTGCTCCGTTATGGTGTCTCCAGCCCTCCCTCCCCCAGTCCCCAAGTCTGCCGCGGGACTCGATATACTAACTTCTTCTTCCGAGCCAACTTTCGTATCGGGTGTGATTATAACGGGACCGGGTCCGAATCTCGCTGCTTCTGTCTCCCACCAATAATACGCTCCTCCCGCCGCGCCCGCTATGGCGGCAGCCGTGATCACGCCCACCAATCCCCGCCCGCCCTTCCGCCCGCCCGCTCCGCCAGTACTTCCGCCAATGCTTCCGCCAACGCTCGGAGCGGAGTTCGGCGGGATCGGGGGAGATGTGGCGGCGGAAAAACTGCGCTTGCTACCCGCAGGCGCACGCGGATCAGGGATCAAACGGCGGAATGGCGCAAACGCGGAGGAGGGGGGTGTCGGAATAGGGCGACACCTGTCGACACCCCATTGGACGGGACGGGATTGGATCAATCTGGCCTGCCCGCTGCCTTCCACGTGGCAAAGTTCGCGTACGACCCGGTGAAGGGCGTGGAGAGAATGGGGTGGAACTGCGGGCGCCGCGGGGGAGATGCCGGAAGGCAAGGGGATTTGGAGGAAGATGCAAGCGGCGGATCGGACGGCCAGCAGCCGGTCGGATCGCCGAAGCTGATGCGCCATGGTTGTGAGGAGCAGAAGCAGAAATTTGGTGTGGAGAGAGTTTTTTTTTATGAATCAATTATATACATGTTTCCTCTTTCAACGTGGAGCTATAGCTCAGTGGTAGAGCAATCGACTGCAGATCGATAGGTCCCCGGTTCAAACCCGGGTGGCTCCTTAAGTAACTAATCTGTTTTTATTAGTTTGTTTTCCGCAGGTACCTGTCTGGAAAGATGATGTGCCATGTGATGGGCTGCTCTCTGATTGCACGTCCAGTAAAGTTAGAAATGTGTGTCCTTGATGGATTACCTGCACTCATCTGCCAACTGAACACAGCCGTGGAACATCCTGTAATGGAGTTGTTCGTAATTCAGTGAGAGAGTGGGTTCATATAGAAGTCTGGATTCCAGGCCCATCCGGACGAAGGAAGCCATTCCTTCGTGCTGGGATTTCAGTTCATTCTCTCACAGCTGCGTTAGCTCTACATAACAAATGGTACGGTATTAACAAGCTTCTATTGCATGTAACCGATTGTCTGACACTCAGTTGAGGAAATCTTTTAGTCGTCGAGTTCGTCGTTCTACTGTAGAGCCTTGCCTTGTGCTTGATCTGCTCATATCCACCCACGTTAGCATGTCCTCCGTTGCTCTCACATCTACGGTACATGATATGTTACAAACAACATCTAATCTAATTGAGTAAATCATAGTCGTCAACCTTATCGTTGTACTGTAGAACCTTGTGCTTGATCTTGCTCGTGTCCACCCATGTCAGCATGTCCTCCATTGCTCTTGTCACCAGAAACGCCGGGTCCCTCACAGCTTCCGGACCAATGCGCACATGGCCCTGGGGGGAGCATGAGGGAATGCGAGAAGGGGGGAGACGGGAATAATAAGGGATCAGACACGTCAGCGTGTCCTCCATTGCTCTTGTCACCAGAAACGCCGGGTCCCTCTCGGCTTCTGGGCCGATGCGCACATGGCCCTGTGGGAAACATTAAGAGGGGACGCGAGAAAGGGGAGAAAGGAAAAAGGGGATCAGATCACCCACGTCAGCCTGTCCTCCATGCACCTGCACACATTTACCCACACCTACACACATATTACCCACACCTACACACATATTACCCACACCTACACACATATTACCCACACCTACACACATATTACCCACACCTACACACATATTACCCACACCTACACACATATTACCCACACCTACACACACCCACCCACCCACCTGCTGCACGAATGCCATGTGCTCTGCCATCTTCAGTCGCACCATCACCACTGCTAGCCTGCTGTGAGTCTGTGAACACACCCCTTCACACACATAACCACGCCTAACACACCCACACCTGAACAGACCTGCTCAGCCACACCCAACCCCTCCCCACCTGCTGCACGAACGAAACTGCTTCTCTTATGTGTTCCGCGATCCTGATTTGCACCATCACCACTGCTAGCCTGCAGTGAGCACACCTAGGGACACCCAGACACACACCCACACACCTGCACACCTGTAAACCTGCACACCTGTGCACCTGCACACCTGCACACCTGCACACCCCTGTACACCCCGGCATACCCTTGTAGACCCAGAGAAACACATCTTTCCCACCTGCTGCACGAACGAAACTGCTCCTCTTATGTGTTCCGCGATCCTGATTTGCACCATCACCACTGCTAGCCTGCAGTGAGCACACCTAGGGACACCCAGACACACACCCACACACCTGCACACCTGTAAACCTGCACACCTGTGCACCTGCACACCTGCACACCTGCACACCCCTGTACACCCCGGCATACCCTTGTAGACCCAGAGAAACACATCTTTCCCACCTGTTGCACGAACGAAACTGCTTCTCTCATGTGTTCTGCCATCTTGAGTCGCACCATCACCACTGCTAGCCTTCGTCTGGAGGGAGATGAAACCAGGAAGAGATGAAACCAGGAAGAGATGGAACCAGGGAGAGATGAAACCCGGGAGAGATGAAACCAGGGAGACATGAAACCAGGGAGACATGAAACCCGGGAGACATGAAACCCGGGAGACATGAAACCCGGGAGAGATGAAACCCGAGAGAGATGAAACCAGGGAGAGATGAAACCCAGGAGAGATGAAACCAGGGAGAGATGAAACCAGGGAGAGATGAAACCAGGGAGAGATGAAAACAGGGAGAGATGAAACAACAGAAAGATAAAACCTTTTCTGAGACTCATTTGTGTGGGTCGGGAGCAAGGCCCTTGTTCTTGGGACAGAAAAAAACGCCGTGTAACATTATACCGAGCTGACTTTTGAGTCGACTCAGAAGTCAGCTTCTGAGGTTCATTTGTGCAGGTCGGGAGGAAGGTTCTTGTTCTTGAGACAGCACGAGTTATCAATAAATAGTTTCTTGATAGAGCTTGTGCCCACTTTCAATCTCATCAAATAAGCTCAATAGCTTAAAAAAAAAAAAAAAAAAAAAAGAGCAAAGAGTGGCTTACCTGCAAAACGAGGAGACGGAGAGCTTATCACAAAGGTTGAGGCTTTTCGTTGTGGGAATGACTCCCATGTTGTAGCTGTGTGGGGGGGAGGGAGATACGAGGGATTAAGGGACGGGTATGGTTTTTCTATGTGGGAATGACTCCCATGTTGTAACTGGCGGGTTTCGGGGTGGGGGCAGAGGGAGGTCGGGTACGGAAAGAAGAGAAGAGGGGTTACAAAAAACTGTCTGCCCTTTCTGCGTGGGTATAGACTCCCATGTTGTCGTGGGGGGGGGGGGGGGGGGGGGGGAGGGGAGGAAAGTGAGGGGGAAGGGGTTAGGAGAGCAGCGGGAGTACATTAGGTGAACCGTGAAAGAATTGTGTCTGACTCTCCTGTGTCAGTCTCCCATGCTGCACCTGGTGTTGTGGGGGGGAAAAAGAAAGAGAGGAAAGAGAATGACAGAACTGAAGGGAGAAAAAAGAGAGGGGCACTGTCTGGCTTGTCTGTGTGGGTATTTTTTTAGAGTTCTCAGGTTTTTTTTTTATCTAAAGAAATCCCTGCAAAAATTGGGTATGACTGTCAGAGCTTGTGAAGCAGCTGGTCAGTCGTTTTGATCCGAAAGGGTTGGAGGGAAAGAAGAGACGAAGTGGGGAAATAAGAGGAGTGAGAAAAATAGGAGAGCAGAGGAAGAAGGGAACGCGCTACCAAAGCTTGTTGAGCAGCTCGTCAGTCCTTTCGATGCGGAAGGGGTTGGAGGGAAAGAAGAGAAGTGGGAAAAAGGGAGGACAGAGGGGAAATGGCATGCACTAGCACTACTCACAGTTTGTTGAGCAGCTGGTCGGTCATTTCGATGCGGAATGCGTCGGAGGGATCCAGTTTCTTGAGCAGCGTTGCCAGCTTCGTGATTTTACCGCACAGCCGGTTGTACCTGCAGTCTCAATACAAGCACAGGCACACGCACGCACAATCACAATCACAAGCACAAGCACAAGCACACGCACACGCACACGCACACACACACAAGCACGGACATAGCATGAATTTCCCAGTTTCCTTGAGCAGGGTTGTCGACTTTGTGATCTTACCGCACGCATAGCTGGTTGTACCTGCAGACTCGATACAAGCACAACCACAAGCACAACCACAGCACAAGCAGGAGAGCGCACAGGAACAGTAAAATGCTCTTTTGAACATTCTCAGCACATCACCCACTTTTGTTTTGTTACAGTAGAACCCTGCTTCGCAAGTATAAATGAACTTGGCTGTCCCCCATACCCTCTCCCTCCCATATCTGACTGACTCAAAACCTCTACGCGCGTAAATGTTTCCGCAAAGCAACCCCACATCAACCCCAAGCTCCCCACCCTTCTTCTTCCCCCTAGCTTCCTCCCCCAAAACCCCAACCCGCCTCAAAACCCCGCCCCGCGAACTCCAACGTTTACCTATTTTACACACACCGCGCTTAACCCGATTGCGGAAACTTACGAAACACAGCCATTCTCCCATCCACACCATCCCCCATCCCCCAACAAACCCCCATCCCAAAGCTTCTCAGCCCCCCTTCCCGCGTCCTGTAACACAACCTCTTGCTGGTAACCCTACTTGGAGTAATCGTCGCGTTCGGTGATGTGGTATCTTCGCATGACCTCCAGCTCTCTGTCGTTGTTCTCGGTCTTCCATTGCAGGAAATTCACCTTCCGCAGCAGCCGCTGCTCATGATACTTCAATTTCCTCATAACGGCTAATGTCTAAAAGTGCTCGCGTTATAACGACACAAGCTCCGGCTCGTTATAACCTTGTGATTTTTCAAATGCTTCAGTGAAACCCTAGCTACGCTTAAAGCCGCTAATCAGGCCTAGCACTACGAATAACTACGCCTTGTAACAACAAGGCGAAAGTCCTCAATGGGTTGGGGAAGCCGAAGGACGAAGGAGCGATTTAATGAACGCAACGTGAACTCGAAAAAATCAGAGACCCGTAGACCTGGAGACAATCGCTAATCTTGGGCACGAGAACGCCAACACCGAGCAGCCTTGTCAGGGACAACTTCAAGGTGATATTTCTGTCTGGGCGTTCTGTACGGTCGAGTGCGGTGAGGTCGTGACAAAGGAATGTGAAAGTAGCGGGGGACAGATAACATGGCAGGGCGAAAAATCACAAAGTTGAAATGTAAGGGCGAGCATGTAGTAAGCAGCCAATTCGATCCCTCATACAATCATTCAATAGCGAATCGCAATTTGGTCTTTGCAGCGAAATCTCGTTGACACTTCCGCAACCATTCGCTGCACCTCCCTCCTCCCCCACCGCAATCCCGCTCGCGTGTCTCCTGCTTGCGGAAAAGCAGAGATGTCAGGCACGCCGCCGGCGGAACTGACAGAAACGGGAGCAGCAGCCACTGCCTACGCAAGCCTTCGACTCGGATCAGCTGATTGATTTGAAACCGTCGATCTGTGTGCTTTGAACCAATCCCAAGGTGCACGAGCCACTGAAACTGCATGCGATCAGACCGTTGCCTGCAGAACAGCACCAGAACGGACTTCCGTGAATCTGTCTCTGGTTTTTCGTCAAATATAGATCACACCAGAAGTCCGTCGATCCTACCACCGACTACAATCTGTAAAGGTTTTCGCTTTCCTACCAGACCCGAGACCACGAAGTACATAAGAAGGGACTCAGTGACCTTCACCAACAGCAGCACAGAAGCCCATCCTGAAGCAGGTTTTGCTATTCGTTCTTGTCTTTTGGTGAGCGGCCTTCTCATTAGTGGTATTTCACAGCAAGAACCATCTGAACTACTCGTTTAGAGCCGAGGTAGCCATGTCGTTTGCAGGATCTATTTGGATTCCATGGATCCCTGCACCTGAAGACGAGCCTGAAGAGGCATGTCAGGGGTATGGGATCAGCCAAGTGCCTGATTTAGAGCCAGCGTCTCCCCAGAGGACAAGATCGACAGCATTTACGACACTTTCGTCCACTCCAGAGCATTTTCCTGTTTTTATTAACAAGAAGCTTGGCCGTTCCGCTTCTCCTTTCAGAAGTGAAGCTCTGAAGCGAGTGAAGCGTGATGACAAAAGCGAGCCGCGCGCAACCAATGGTACGTGCCAGCGCGCGTCTCCGTTCAGATTATTCCGTTAAACAGCTATTGAGAAATGATTGTGAAATTTAATTTTACTGATCCTCGTCGTCTTGATGTCTTTCAGGTGTCTGTGACAGTTTCACGTCTTATTCAACGCCACCAGCTCTACAACGCAGAAGTCCCACATGTCCAGCGGCACCTTACAAGGCACGGACACGGAGCATCTTGAAGCTGACCCAGACATCGTCGATTGACCTGAGCATACAGCATCGGTGGTAGCACCTACCTTCCGCCAGCAGATCTCAAGCGCGAGAACCGGGTACATATGGCTCCTCGGCCACTATCAACACCTCTCTTTTCCGCTTGGGTTCAGGGAGAACATATCTGCACGCTTCGTACTGTTGCTGATTGTGCAGCAGAAGCTGCTCACATGTGTAAAATAGTTGACACGGCTGGGGAATTCAGTGATCACTGAGTTCTGATAGTGTTATGCCTGTTGTTTCTAACAAATCCTCCCTGCTGCTGCTGCCACAGGCATGGATATTAGGGTTTGCTTCAAACTGGAATATTCTGTTTCCTCTACATTTACAGCATTTACACTACACTTGCCACAAATCGTTTACAACCTATTAGCTAACTAACAATTAGCCTAATATGAATCCGAGTACGATCATGCTGGAAAAAATAGCGAGAATGCAGTTTTCTTCAAAAAGCGGTTCTTTGCTCATTATCAGCTGGCCCCACTTGAGAGAGCTTGAGAGTAGTCTCTTCGGAATTCACGGCAGCAGCAGCGTCAGCAACTTGGTTAGCCATTTCAGCTGCTTTTGACAGGATCGATTCAGTCATGTCAGCTTCCCCTAGAGCCATTTCAGCTGCCTCGGCCGCAGTGTCTTCTACCTGAACACCTGAATAATCTGCTTCTAGATCATCACCCTCACCTCGGATGATAATCTCACTGCTGGTGGTTTCGGTCATTCTGCTACTGCTGCTGCTGTCAGTGCCAGCGTTGTTGCTCCCACTGTTACTGAGATCAGCGTCGCCGTTGCTGGTCGTCTTCTTGGAAAAGAGCGAGAATTGAGTAAATTCGCAGTCAGGAGCAAGGAGGGAGGAGGTGACGTAATCTTCTGGTACACCTTCGAGTTCCCCTTCGGAGGAAGATTCGGAGGGAACCAACGGCATGGCCATCAGGTGTGACAGAATAGAGTAGTTTAGGGTGGGTTCTGACGTGGCGTTGGCTCGGTAGAATTGACCCAAGAGCCCGTGCACTGTAGGGGAGTACGCTACATCGAGGATAGCCAGGTTGATGTGTGCCTCAGCGTCATCTGGTTCTTGTAACAGAGGGTGCACCCGGCGAACACGAACCTCCGCTTCAATCACACCCGGTACTTTTATCGCGTACACGTCCACGTCGTACGGTCCTTGCTTCTCGTATGCTGCTAGGAGAATCGTCGCAGCGCCGTCAAATAAAGAGAGCTCGTCTCCCAACTGTTCAGACGATACAGCCGTCAAGCACGGGAGTGAGATACGGAAGCGGCGGATAGACGTGACGGAACGGCATGGCGAAGGAAGGAATAAGCGGATAGCATACAGGAAAGAAGAGCCCCGACAAGCATTCAACCCCCCGAACCCGCAACTCCTTCTGGTAGATAACAGAAGGGCTATATTACCACTAGCTTCGGCATAGCATGGCGGCAACTCCCTAGGCGCTTCGTGCACTCACCACTAGCTTCGGCATAGGATGCCCGTCCACTTCAATGGTCGCAACGTATCCGTCGCCCCGCTCCTGCTGCGCTGTCCTTCTTGCAGCCATTCGCAGCACGTGCTGAGCTTGTCCGGGACCCCCTCGCCCCCACATTAGCGAAACTTCACGAATCCACGCGCGAACAACGGCCGGTCGTTGAGTCCGCGAGTTACCACCAAATGCGGAGGGGGTCGAAGCGGTGGCGCCGCGGTTATCCATGTAGCCTGACAGTTGCATGTTGATGTGAAACGACGGGTCGCTTATCAGGCAGAACGCGCGGTCCGACAATTTCTCGTGAGCTACTGGTCCGGCGGGAGCCGCGCCGATTTTGGAGTGGTAAAGCGCGGGTCCCACGGCCCATTTGACGGCACTTGCGGCGGTTCTGGCGAGTTTGACTTCAGAATTGCAACGGCCACCCACACTGGACAGGGTAGAGCAAGAGAAAGTGAAAAGATACCGCAAAATAGGACATTGACAGGAGGATGAGGTTAGCAGAAGAAGGAAGCACCAGGGAGGAAGGGATAAACGAAACAACACAATGCCCTCTACAAGGAGAAAGTGAACAAGCGTGGAACGTAGACATGTGCATCTGCCATGGTTGTGTCGGCAAACCATGAGAGCGTATACTCACTATGAGTTGGGTAAACCGGGAACGTAGACATGCGCGTCCCCGCTACAAGCTCCTTCGGTAAAGAGAAGGCAGAGACCAGAGGGCAGGAGAAGGTTCCAGTACGCGCAGTCGCCGTTACTCCGGCATTGTTGGCAACAGTCGCCCGGAGTTGCGTTAGGGCCGAGATTCACGCCGTTAGGTGCGGCGGCGAGGCGATACTGCTTCGTGCCTTGCACGGTGAACTTTCCCTTGTAGACGTATCGTCCGCACGTGTCTTGCGTGCATGCTGATCGTTCGTTCGCAAAATTGGGGCAGTTGTTAGCGAGGATGACGGGAAGAGTAGTCATGAGGGCGATGAGGGAGAGAGAGGAAGCAGACAAGGCGATTCGTTCTCTATCCATGGCGAATTGCGTTGTTATCCTGCCAACAGGCGTTTGTATTCCCCCTTGTTCTGAAATTTGCTTGCAAAGGATATCCTAACCGAGGTAGTCCAATATATTGGCAGCCGATTTGGCGCAAAATATGTCTCACGTAGAAGTGCCTGGTCGTTGACTAAATAATTTGCTTCTCCAGACAATGGCGTCAATGCCAGGGTTGCAGGTGTTGATTACCGATTGCAGGTGTTGGTCCCATCATGTGCTTTGCAGTGAGTGCTCATCTCATGAACGGGGTGCCTACCCGCTGTTGAGTGCAGCAGTGGGGTGGTCCGGCCATGCTACATTTTCGCTTTTGGCTCTGAAATTTGAGCCCCGAGCCGCATGAAGGGCTGACAAGTTCTGCGCTTCGGAAGGCTTGGTTTTGCGCAGTCTGCGTGGAGGGGGAATTTGGATTTTGTCATTTGCTGCTGCTGCCTGCTGCGAAAAAGTGTCAGCAATAGCGAAGCGAGCAGCGAGAGATGATGGATGCTTGCCAAAGGAACGGCTACTCCGCGAGGCTCACGAATTTTGTTTGGTTTTCCCTCGCATAGCACGAGAAAGTTAGCGGGCGCGTTACCACCTGATGACTGGGCGAGAAGTTCGATTTTGGGGTCTGGTGTGTACTGACTGTACGCGCTAAGATGCTCCATCTCCGTTTCGACTTTGCATGCGAAATACACCGCTTTGTCGGTCGGAAAGGAAATACAACTGTTACGGGTGCAATGAATCGAGGTAGCGAGAATTGCACTAAGGTGTCAAACGAGTACAAAATGTGAGCGAAGGCATGAGCGAACATTTATACGCGAAACATGCAAAACGGTAACGCGGTGCGTGCGAGCTTGCTAGTGCTACGCTGGAGCGAGGCTCGGGCTAGTCCCGAAGCGTAGGCCGAT